GCAGCTGACAGCCCATTGGCCAGAAATGGCTGCATGCCATTGACTTTCCATAGGGGGCGCTGTTGTGAAGGGAACTCCAGAGTCTCCTCCTGTGTTGCCCCCCACAGCTTATCTTGGAGATGTCCCATCGCCCCCCCAGCTAGTGCTTTATTTGCTGGTGACCTTGAACCCTGGAGTCTCTCCCTCATTCATTTATCTGATCCCTTTAGGAGGGTTCTCAAGATAAATTCTTTCCAGAAATTGAATTTGAGAAGTATGTTCATCTCGAAAAACTGGTATATTTCCTCTTTTATCCAGTCAGTGAACATCTGATAACCTCTCAGCATTTCCTTGTAGTCTGGGCTGGTTAAAAAAAAAAAAAAAAAGCCCAAAGAAACCTGGGCGCAGGTGGCTCCCACCTGTAATCCTAGCTACTCAGGAGTCTGAGATCTCAGCTCAAAACCAGCCCAGGCAGAGAAGTCCATGAGACTGTTATCTCCAATAAACTACAGTATTCTGAAAGTGGTGCTGTGGCTCAAGTGATAGAGCACTAGCCTTGAGCACAAACAGGCTCAGGGACAGTGCCCAGGCCCTGAGTTCAAGCCCCAGGACTGACCAAAAAAAAAAAAAAAAAGTGCAAAACAAAATTTAGTTCTCTGTTGTTGTCATCACAATGTGAAACTAGGAATTTGGTAAAATTGCTTCTCCTCCTGTCATCTGGTTAGAAGATATTTTCTATTTCGTGTGTGTGTGTGTGTGTGTGTGTGTGTGTGTGTGTGTGTGTGTGTGTGTGTACCAATCCTGGGGCTTGAACTCTGGACCTGGGCACTGCCCCTGAGCTTTTCTGCTCAAGCCTAGTGCTCTACCACTTGAACCATGCATCTACTTCTGGCTTTCTTGGTGGTGGAAAATTGACAATAAGAGTCTCATACACTTTTCTGCCCAGGCTGGCTTCAAACCTGGATCCTCAGATCTCAGCCTCTGAAGTAGCTAGGATTACAGGTGTGAACCACTGCATCGCACACTTTCTTTCTTTCTTTTTTTCATTAGTGAGTTTGAACTCAAGGCCTCATACTTGCTAGGCAGGCCCTCTACCACCTGAACCATACTCTCAACACCTTTTAGCTTTAGTTATTTTACACAGAAGGTCTCCTGGTTTTGCTTGGGCCAGCCAGGACCAAGATCCTCTTCCCTATGGCTTCCTTGTAAGTGGGATCATAGCTGCACAGCATCATGCCTGGCTTGTTTGTTGAGATGGGCTTCTTACTAGCTTTTTGCTGAGGCTGGTATTAAACTACAGTCTTCCTGATCTCGGCTTCCTGAGTAGCTGGGATTACAACATGCAATACATGCTTGGCCTCTTGTTAACTTTTGACAGACTCATTTCTCTTAAACTGGTATAAATACATGTTTTTCAACTAGCCATCACATAACTTGTTCATTGTAAGAATGTAGGCTGTGGTACCTATGGAAAGTCTAGGGCGTAAACATGTTAACTTCTACATGTTAATTCAAATCCATGCTGCAAAAAAACCCCAAAATTTGCTATAAAGCATAACATTGATCTCCATAGCACTACAGACAAGTTGTGTAAGTGTTCTTGCTTGCAAAATTTATGTTCAGAGTTATTCTCTTTCACTGACCAATAACAGAAATCCAACTCTAACTTAAGTCAAAAAGAAAATGAATTGACTCAAGTTTCCTGGGGTCATCCGCCTTCAGGTATGGCTGCAACCAGGTGTTTAAAAATGCCACCACCGTTTGGTCCTACTTCCTGTGTATCCCTTGGCTTTGTTTTTCCTTGCTGACATCACTCTTAGGCAAACCTTCCCCACTGGTGACTTATTGACAGCTTTAGGAGTACACTTTCTAACTCTAAGTTTGGCAGGAATGGGGAGGGGAGCGAGGCGCAGAGTATGGTTCAGGTGGTAGAGGGCCTGCCTAGCAAGTATGAGGCCTTGAGTTCAAAGTCACTAATGAAAGAAAGAAAGAAAGAAAGAAAGAAAGTGTGCGATGCAGTGGTTCACACCTGTAATCCTAGCTACTTCAGAGGCTGAGATCTGAGGATCCAGGTTTGAAGCCAGCCTGGGCAGAAAAGTGTATGAGACTCTTATTGTCAATTATTCACCACCAAAAAAAGCCAGAAGTAGATGCATGGTTCAAGTGGTAGAGCACTAGCCTTGAGCAGAAAAGCCCAGGGACAGTGCCCAGTCCAGAGTTCAAGCCCCAGGATTGGTACACACACACACACACACACACACACACACGAAATAGAAAGTATCTTCTAACCAGATCCCACTGGCACTGACTGGGTTATATACCCTGTCCTAATTATTGTGGTCAGGAATAAAGAAATAATTCCAGTTGGGTCCTGGGTCCACCTCCAGCCCCCAACCGCCAAGAGTGGAGGAAAAGCATTACTGCAGCAATGTTTCCCTTGGCAGAGGGAAACAGGTACCAGCAGCAACAGCATAAAGCAAACCATCACACTGTACCCGGCCTGTGGACCCGAGAAGGCCATCCAGAGTTCAGGTGTCATTAGGCTGTTGTCCTCTGGTCTGACAACTCCAAAAGTCTAATCCCGGTCATTTACATAGAGATAAACTTGGGATGGTTGCCTGAGCTTAAAAAAATTCTACTTCCTTCTTCCTCACTCACCCACCATGGAGGAAGTCTGTCTTCTATTTTCCTTCCTTCTGACACGTCCTATATTGATTCAGCCAACCAATCCCTACTGATTCTTCCTTTTTAAAAATTGTTTTCTTCTTTGCTGGGTGCCAGTGACTCATGCCTGTCATCCTAGCTACCCAGGAAGCTGAGGCAGGCAAGAAAGTACATGAGACAATTACCTCCAGTAAACTACTCAGAAAAAGCCAAAAGTGGCACTGTGGCTCAAGTGGTAGAGCTCTAGCCTTGGGCACAAAAAGGCTCAGGGAGAGCACCTAGGCCCTGAGTTCAAACCCCAGGACAGGCAAACAACAACAACAACAGCAAAACCGATTTCCTTCTCTTCCCACTGTCCCTACACTGCCGCTCTTAGTCCTCTGCTGTAGGGATGGTTTTCCAGTAAGTCCAGTTCAGATCCTGGAGCCCCTCAACCTGACTAGCAAGCCTTTCCTAAGCTGGGCCTAGTGGCCAGGAGGATGGTGGACACTAATTGGCCAGGCTGGGGTCATGTGACTACCCTGGAGGGTCAACGATCAGTGGGGACTTCATTTATCAGTTGGTCCAAGCAATGAGGAGGAAAAGATGTGCAGAGAAAAATAAAATCAGGGCAAGATACCCAGCGCAGGGGCATGAGAACCAGCCAAATAAAGATAGGAAATAAATTCTCATCACTTTGGTCTGAGAAGTATGCTGTGTCTGAGAATGAGAGCTCGTGGGACTGATGAAACCATGTTTCCCTACTGTAAGGGGTCATAACAATCATCTCGTCAATGCTCTGTTTCCCATGAACTATTTATCCATTCTGTATTCTTACTAATTTGTGCATTAGACCCCAGAAACTCAAGTGCAGTCAGAATACTCAAAGAGCTGGATGCTGGTGGCTCATACTTGTAATTCTAGCTGCTCAGGAGGCAGAGGTTGGGAGGGTTGAGGTTCAAGACCAGCCTAGGAGAAAAGGTTCAAAAGATCCCATCTCAACCTGCAGCTGGGTATGGTGGCCTATGCCTGTCATTCTAACCACCATGGGAGGTGTAAATAGAAGGCTCATGAGCCAGGTATGTGCTCAGGAATAAAAACAAGACCCTATCTCAAAAATAACCAGACTGAAGGTATGGTTCATGTAGGAGAGTCCCTTCCTAGCAAGGATAAAGCCATGGGCTTAAACCCCAGTACTTCCTTGTTCCTTCTAATCCTTCAGTTCATTGCTTTCCCCCTACCTCCAGCCCCCAGCCAGAAGAATATATTTATTAAGATGTACTTAGACTGAATGTATCAAACATCCTCTAAAAACCCAGTAGTGGTAGCAAAATACAAGTTTATTCTTTTTCTAATAGTTAGAACTGATAAAATAACTGTTTTTCGAAGTTGCCCTCAACCCTAGTCTTTTTTGTGGGGGGTCTGATTGTGGGGCCTGAACTCTGGGCCTGGGCGCTGTCCCTCAGCTCTTCAGCCCACAGCTAGCGCTCTACCACTTGAGCCACAGCACCACTTCTGGTTTTTTTTTCCTACTGCTCATGTGGTGCTGAGGAATCGAACCCAGGGCCTCAAGCATGCAAGGCAAGCGCTCTACCAATGAGCCACCTTCCCAGCCCCAACCCTAATCTTTTTGTGTATGTGCGTGTGTGATGTGTGTGTGGTGTGGTGTGTGTGTGTGTGTGTGTGTGTGTGTGTGTGTGTGTGTGTGTGTGCCAGTACTGGGCCTTGAAATCAGGGCCTAGGTGCAATCCCTTAGCCTTTTTGCTCAAGGCTGGCGCTCTACCCAGCTATAGCTCCACTTCTGGCTATTTGGTGGTTAATTGGGGATAAGAATCTCTTAGAGCACTTTTCCTGCTTGAGCTCTTTTGAACCACGACCCTCAGATCTCAGTCTCTTGAGCAGTGAGGATTATAGATATTGTGTCTTTGTACACGTGGCCCAAGCTGGTGCATCACATTCATGTTCCAGCCCAGACGGTGACGGTAACAGGAAGGGATGACCTCTTTCCTTCAACAACACGACCTGGGAGTTGTATGTGTAGCACTTTCTGGCTCACAATCTCGGGATTTCTCTCCTAGGTACAAGGGAGGCTGGGAAATGTAGTCATTATTCTGGACAGCTGTTTACCCAGCAGTGAGAGAAGCTGAAATAGATATTGCAAGATAACTGGCAGTCTCAACATGGAAGGGAGGGAGGGAGGGAAGGAAGGAAGGATGAAGGGAGGGAGGAAGGGGGGAGGGAGGGAGGGAAGAAGTAAGGAAGCAAGGAAGGAAGGAAGGAAGGAAGGAAGGAAGGAAGGAAGGAAGGAAGGAAAGAAGGAAGGAAGGAAGGGGAAGAAAGTCTGACATTTTCCCCTTCCCCTCTGTCTACAGATTTTAAAAAAGAAGATCCTGGAGTGACTACAAATGCAGGCTTGTTCTAGCAGTCCAGGTTGAAGACTCTACTAGCATGTCCGCCTACAAAAGGAATCGTGGCTATGAGGAGGATGCAGATTATCCCAACTATCCGGGGTGTCAGAACCCAATGCAAGGATATTCGAAAACCCAGGGGTACCCTATCACCGGACGCAACCCCTACTCTGCAGGTTCCAGGATGAACCCCGACTACCTAGGGTCTCTCGAAGAACCAGATTATCCTGAATCTCCTGCTTATCTGAGCAACAGCACGAATCCCTATGCTGAAGCTTCCAGAACAGGTTCAGATAATTACACATCTCGGCTAGAGCCAGATTATTTTGACTTTTCAAGGAATCCATCATCCAGAGAGCCTGACTCCCCTAGATGGCAACCGAATCTTGATCTTGCCAGCTCCAGGACACATCCACACTATTTGGGGTCCTTGGGAGAACCCGACTACCCTGGAGCTCAGGATCGCTCCCGCCAGCCTTCCTCCAGAGATGATTCCAGCCATCGAGGCCCCAGAAGGATGCTAGAACACCCTAGCTCCAGAGTCAGTCCCTATACAGACTCCCTGACCGAGCCTGACTATCCAGGTGCTCACCATCAGCCTAACACTCTACTCGTATTTGAGAAACCAGTCTACCCTAGTTCCGAGGATGATGTAGACCCCGCAAATTTCTGGGGGGAACCTGATTACCCAGGTGCTGAGGATGGTCGCCATTATAGCTCTTCTGAGACCCCAGGAACAGCCAGAGGGTAAGTTCTGTCATGAGTGGGATTCCAGTATGGGATCAAGTCACTGAGGCTTGGTCAGTGGGATTTGGATGAAGGGCAGGTTCTATGACCGGAAGTTGTGGGCCACAACTCTCAGCCTTAAGCTCCGAGCCCTTACTGGAAATTCTCAGACACCTACCTCTGCCTTGCCCAAGCCCCGAAAGATAACTGTCTTTCCATTGTTTTATCTCTCTACATTACCAGTGAGGCTGACGTCATGATTCAGTGGTCATAAATCCAGATGTTGTAACCAGAATCACATCAACAGTAATGGATTTTCATTGAGATGACATTAAAGATCTATTGAATTTAGTTGCTTAAAAAAAAATTTTGGTGGTCTTAGAGATTGAAGCCAAGACTTCATGTAAACCAGATAAATGCTCTACCATTTAGCCATGCCCAAACTTTAGTTGTGTGTATATGTGTATGTGTGCACACATGCACACATGTATGTGAACGCAGAGCCTGAGAGCTGTCCCTGAGTTTTATTTGCGCAAGGCTTGTGTTCTACCACTTGAGCCATAACTCTATTTCTGGCTTTTTTTGTTTTTTTGTTTTTTGGCCAGTCCTGGGGTTTGAACTCAGGACCTAGGCACTGTCCCTGAGCTTCTTTTGCTCAAGGCTAGCACTCTACCACTTGAGCAACAGCACCACTTCCAGCTTTTTCTGTTTATGTGGTACTGAGGAATTGAACCCAGGACTTCATGCATGCTAAGCAACCACTCTACCACTAGGCCACATTCCGGTCCCTGGCTTTTTTTTTTTTTTTTTGGTGGTTAATTGAACATAAGAGTCACTTGAACTTCCCTCCTGGACTGGCTTTGAACCATGCTCCTCAGATCTCAGCCTCCTGAGTAGCTAGGATTACAGGCATGAGCCACCAGCACTAACAAAGTTTACCAAGTACAGTTATTGACAGCATTCATTAAGTGACTTAGTTGTACCAAATCTGTTTTTTTTTCAGTATATTCACAAGACATTTCTTTAGCCAATATTTTTGTGTTGAATCTACAAAAAATTTTATCATGTATTTTTTTCACTAGTCTGAGTCTTGGCACTTGATATTTATATAAGTGATATTAATGAAATTTATTTTATTTTATTTTTAAATCTGTCATGCCACTACAGGTCAAGAGTTTGAGGACAGCCGGGCATTTGTGGCTCATGCCTGTAATCCTAACTACTCAGGAGGCTGAGATCTGAGGATTGCAGTTCAAAGCCAGCCCAACCAAGAAAGTACATGAGACTCTTATCTCCAATGAACCACCAGAAAACTGAAAATGGTGCTATGGCTCAAGTGGTAGAGTGCTGTCCTTGAGCTGAAGAGCTCAGGGACAGTGCTCAGGCCCAGAGTTCAAGCCCTACTACCAGAAAAGAAAAAATAAAAGAGTCTGAGGACAGCCCAAGTTACATAGTAAGACTCATCTCCAAACAAAACAAAACAAAATAGTGACTTGCATTCCTTTCCAGGAAGAAGGTTGTAGAACTTGGGTGTGCAATAATCCAAATGTCTTTAGGATGTACTAAAGTGGGATTTAAGTAGAACTAACAAGAACAGGTCAGAATCCTTTCTTAGTCTTACCTCTCAATGCCTGACTCACCATCCTAAGACATACCTTTGGTCCTGTCCCTCTGATTTGCATCTTCCGTAGGTGTCCATAACAGAAAGAGAAAGGTCACATGGCTGCATTTACAAAACACTTACAACTGAGAATGAATGGTGCTGACAGCAGGTGCCAGCCCCAAACCAGCCTGACCCGTCTTTCTCTCCCGTTCCCTCCCTCCCTCCCTCACCCTGTATTCCAGGTCAATGTTTTTTGACCTTGGATGGAACTTTGAATTGTTTTACTACCTACAGATCATTTATATATATATATATATATAATATAACCATATAAATATGTGTGTAAATTTAACTATATATACATATATATGTGGGTGTGTGGGTAGATGGAAGAATAGATGGTTGAATGGGTAAATGGGTGAGTGGATGACTGAATGGGTAAATGGATATATAGATAGATGGATAGGTGAATGAATGGATGGATGGATGGATGGATGGATGGATGGATGGATGGATGGATGGATGGCTAAATGGATGGGTGTATAGATGGATGCATGGTTGACAGTTTGGGTAGACAGATACGTTGATGGGCAAATGAATGAATTGATGGATGAATGGGGTGGAGTGGATGGATGATTGCCCTCTCCATTTATGGATGGATGATCATCATTTGGGGATTTCAGGATGCCCATCAGAATCCTCCTCAGTCCACCCTCATTCCATTGCAGGAAGGATGGCTCCTTGGGCTTCCTTAGGAGAGAGAATGAAGATTATTCTGAAAGCATTGAAATGGCTTCCATGCAGCTGTCACCTCCACATGGCCGCTATCTGCCAGGCGCTCCTGCCATCGGCTACGGTAAGCACATCACATGCTGGCAGGGGGTTCTGGCAGCAGAACTGGCATCTCCCTCTCTCCTGAAATGCCCTTCTTAGACACAAGACTGGAGGCAAACCAGTGACTTGGGGAGCCAAGTGTCAGCCATGTTCAAAGAAGTCCAGGTCAAGTGTGTGGAAATGCGCCCGTGCACAAACCCTGGGTCTGCCTGAGGAACACACTACTTATCACTAGCCTGGAAAAATCCCCAAATGTAAAATCCTATTCTTGTGGCAGGGCTGCAGCTAGAATCCAGACAGAGCTTCCTGCATGGTGGGCAAGCAGGTGCTCTCCCACTGAGCCCCAACCCTGCCAACACAGTCACAATTTTTTTTTCCTAGTCCTGAGGCTTGAACTCAAGGCCTGGGCACTGTCCCTGAGCTTCTTTTGCTCAAGGCTAGAGCTCTACCACTTGAGCCACAGTGCCACCTCCAGCCTTTTCTGTGTATATGATACTGAGAAATCGAACCCAGAGCTTCATGCATGCTAGGCAAGCACTCTAGCACTGAGCCACCTTCCCAGCCCCAACATTCACCACTTGAATATGCTCATTGCTTTCCCTAAATCATGTGGTCAAAGCATTGTGAGCAAAACCAGTTGTAAGTTGGAAGCCATCTGCACAAATGGAAAACAACCCGCACATCTGCATGGGAAATATTTGAGTGCACAAGTATTTGTGGGTCACGCCAGGGATATGGAAGACATTGAGGTGACCCATTCCCAATTGAGGTGGTGGCAGGGCTGGGGTAGAGGAACTCTTGAAAGGCCAGAAAATGATCTTAACTCTTCTTATGCATAAAGCACAGGTAGATACACATAGAGCACATAGATAAGTGTCCAGCATCTCTGTGGTATGAAAAGCTGATGGTAGTTGGGTGCTGGTGACTCACACCTGTCATCCTAGCTACCCAGGAAGCTGAGATCTTTTTCTATCCAGCCTGGGTAGAAAAGTCCCTGTGAGACTCTTTTTATTTTTGTTTTATTTTTGTCAGTCATTGGGTTTGAACTTAGGGCCTGACTGCTGTACGTGAGATCTTTGACTCAAGGCTAGTGCTCTACCACTTGATCCACAGTTCCACTTCCAGTTTTTTGAGTCATTAATCGGAGATAAGAGTCTCACGGGAACTTTTCTGCTCAGCCTGGCTTTGAACTGTAATCCTCAGATCTTAGTTCCTGAGTAGTTAGGATTACAGGCCTGAGCCACCAGCACCTGGCTCCTCGTGAGATTCTTTATCTCCAGTTAACTACTTAAAAACTAGGAGTGGAACCAAGGCTCAATAGCGTAGCGTGCTTAGAGACCTGAGCTCAAGCTCCATGACAGAAAAAAATTAAAACAGTTAAAAAAAAAAAGAACTAGGATAAGAATATGCATGTAAGGGCTGGGAATATAGCTTAGTGGTAAAGTGTTTGCTTAGCATGCATGAGGCCCTGGGTTCCATTCCTCCCTATCACATACACAGAAAAAGCCAGAAGTGGCACTGTGGCTCAAGTGGTAGAGCATTTGCCTTGAGCTGAAGAGCTCAGGATAGTGCCCAGGCCCAGAGTTCAAGCCCCACTACCAACAACAACAACAACAAAAAAATTGTACTATTTTCTACACATGTTTTTCATTTGTTTGTTTTAGGATGGCTTTGCTTGTTTGTTTTAGACAGGGTATTGCTATGTAGCAGCAGGCCGATCTTTTTTTTTTTTTTTTTTGGGGGGGGGGTCCAGTCATGGGGCTTGAACTCTGGGCCTGGGTGCTGTCCCTCAGCTCTTCAGCTCAAGGCTAGCGCGCTACCACTTGAGCCACAGCGCCACTTCTGGCTTTTTTCTTTTTGCTTATGTGGTGCTGAGGAATCAAACCCAGGGCCTCATGCGTGCAAGGCAAGCGCTCTACCACTGAGCAACCTTCCCCGCCCCAGCAGGCCGATCTTGAACTCATTAGCTTTCTGTCTCTGCCTTGTGAGTGCTGGGATTATAGGCATGCATCACCATGCTTGACTCTTTACACAAGTTCTTAAACCACAAGACTGTTAGGAACTTGAAGGCAAAGTAACAGTGTTATTACTAACCATTTCTAGCACATGCTAACCATTATATACTCAATAGTACTGAGGGTGGAGGGTTTAAAGTGCAACATCTCCCTTCTCTTCATTTCAGTAAACCCTGCTTATGCGGGTGAAAACAGGCCTGAAAGAGCTTATGGAAACTCACCAGTGCCTGACTATGATTGGCACAAGTCACCCCAAGGTAAGTCCTCATGGACCACGACCAGGCCATTAGCCCTGGGGAAGAAACTTGCTCAAGGCAACATGTGGTAATGATAGTGATGGAGTCTTTTGTGTCTATGGTCTCCGTTTCAGCACTGAAAGAGCAGTGACCTGGCAAGAAAGGGATTATTTTCTCTTGCCACAAGAAGAGTGGAGGGAGGAAGTTCAAAGTTAGTTCAACATCGAAACTTTCCCGCCTTAGCTGGGCGCTGGTGGATCATGACTGTGATCCTAGCTACTCAGGAGGCTGAGATCTGACAGGAACAGTTTGAAGCCAGCCTGGGCAGGAAAGTCCATGAGACTCTTTTTTTTTTTTGGGGGGGGGGTCCGGTTGTGGGGCTTGAACTCTGGGCCTGAGCGCTGTCCCTCAGCTCTTCAGCTCAAGGCTAGCGCTCTACCACTTGAGCCACAGCGCCACTTCCGGCTTTTTTCTTTTTGCTTATGTGGTACTGAGGAATCGAACCCAGGGCCTCGAGCATGCAAGGCAAGCGCTCTACCACTGAGCCACCTTCCCAGCCCCCCATGAGACTCTTATCTCCAATAAACCCCCAGAAAACCAGAAGTGGCACAATGCCTCAAAGTGGTAGAGCACTAGCCTTGAGCACAAAAGCTCAGAGATAGCACCCAAGCCCTGAGTTCAAGCCCACAACCAACGAAACAAAACAAAAAATAAAAACTTTCCCCCTCCATAGCTTCTTTCTTTCTTCACCTTTGCAGGTAAACGTTCATCTTCTTGTTTTTAAAGTGATTTCATGAAAGAGGTGAATGAGGAGTAAATTGTCCCATTCCTTTTTGGGTGGTACTGGAGTTTGAATTCAGGGCCTTACACTTGTTTTGTTTTTTTGGGGGGGGTCGGTCGTGGGGCCTGAACTCTGGGCCTGGGCGCTGTCCCTCAGCTCTTCAGCTCAAGGCTAGCACTCTACCACTTGAGCTACAGTGCCACTTCCAGCTTTTTTCTGCTTATGTGGTGCTGAGGAATCGAACCCAGGGCCTCATGCATGCAATGCAAGCGCTCTACCACTGAGCCACCTTCCCAGCCCAGGGCCTTACACTTGTGAGGCAGGCACTCTATGACTTGAGCTACATCCTCAACCCTTTTTGTTTTGGTTTGTGTATTCGGATAGGATCTCATGCTTTTGCCCAGGCTACCTTCAGATGGTGATTCTCTTATCTCTACTTTCTGAAGAACCTTGGGATTACCGATGTGGATCACCGTGCTCAGCATGTTTGAGTCACCTTCTTTAAAAGAGCATCCGTGGGGCTGGGAATGTGGCTTAGTGGTAGAGTGCTTGCCTAGCATGCATGAAGTCCTGGGTTCAAGCCTCAGTGCCACATGAACAGAAAAAGCCAGAAGTGGTGCTGTGACTCAGTGGGAGAGTTCTAGCCTAGAGTAAAAAGAAGCTCAGGGATAGTACGCAGGCCCTGAGTTCGAGCCCCAGGACGGGATAAATAAATAAGCATCCCTGAAAGCCACCACATGTCTCATTGACTAAAATCGGGTCACAAGTTTGCGCTTAGCTGTCAATGAAGCTGGGAGAATCTGAACTTTAGATAATGCAGGAAAGAGTGCAGATTGAGGAAACAAACAGACAGTACTGTCTACAGTCTGAGACAGACAGGAGGCTACGACAGGCATAGACAATTATAAATTGCAGGCCAGAAGCACTAAAGGCCCTTGGGGTTCTGAGTCATTTAGAAGGATCTCTTGTCTTCCCTTTCTAGAATGCCATCGAAGGATTCTGTTTCTAATTTCTTACCTTAGCTACCAAGACCGAATTCTTTGCAGGAAAATAACAGATCTCTAGAGAAGATCTCTAGAGGGGAGCACATTGGGGGGGAATTAACATGGTGATTTTTGAGGTGCAGGCTTCGGGTGCATTCATTCTGGCATTGAGAACCTCTATTTGAAGCACCCTGACCTTCCCACGCCCCTCCTTCCCAGGGTCCTCTGTGCCAGTGTGAGCACTTAGAGAAGGAGGGCGGGGGGAGGGGGTCTTTGAAGACCACCCAGGTGGAGGAGAAGATTCACCCGAGTCAGGGGATGCTGCCAGAGAGCCAGGGGAATGATATCATCATCGAGTTTGAGAATATTCCATCAGGGATCCACAGTCAGGTTTTTCAAGGAAAGTCAGCAGCAAAGCTGACTGTCAGCAGGGTTTCGTCCGCATCTGACATCGACGCCATTGGTTCTCAGGTTTTCGGCCACAGGCACAGCCAAAGGCAGCACCGGGTATTAGGGGTTTCAACTGCTTTGAATGAATCTGTGTCTCAGATCCTCCATAGTCCAGGATGCCCCAGCATAGAGTCTCCTTCTACCTCCCATGACACCATTCAAGGTAGAAAACGCTTCAGGGAGCTATAGGGGAGTAGAGGGGAAGGGAGCTAAGCTATTAGGGTTTTTTTGTTGTTGGTCTTGGGACCTGAACTCTGGGCCTGGGCATTGTCCCTCAGCTCTTCAGCTCAAGGCTAGAGCTCTACCACTTGAGCCACAATGCCACTTTGGCTTTTTCTGCTTATCTGGTGCTGAGGAATTGAACTCAGGGCCTCATGCATGCAAGGCAAGCACTCTACCACTGAGCCACCTTCCCAGCTCCGCTATTAGTTTTTTTATACTTAAAAAAAAAAAAAAAAACATTTAGCTCAGGCACCGGTGGCTCACTCCTGTAATCCTAGCTACTCAGGAGACTGAGATCTGAGGGTCACAGTTCAAAGCCAGCCCAGGCAGAAAGGTCCCTGTGAGACTCATATCTCCAACTAGCCACTCAAAAACCAGAAGTAGAGCTGTGGCTCACAGTGGTAGAGCACTAGCCTTGAGCAAAAGATCTCAGGGACAGAGCCCCGGCCCTGAGTTCAAGCCCCACAATGGACAAAATTAAAAACCTGTTTTGAACTCCATTTATTCTCTTCTGCAGGACAAAAGTTAATTGCCTCCCTGATCCCCATGGCATCCAGAGACAGGATTAAAACCATCCGGAGCCAGCCAAGAAGTATGGAAGAGAAAAGGAGGCTCAGGTATGCCCCAGACTTCTCTTCTGTCCCAGATTTCAACCCTTGGTTTGAGGGAGGGATTTCAGTCCAGGCCAAGATTCTCGAGGTTCATGGCCTCCGGTTCTAGATTGCCTTATGGTCCTCCAGCCACGCTGGACTCCTACAGCTCAGCTTCTGCTTGAGGCTGTGCATTGGCTGTTCCCTGTGCCAGGATTCTTCCTCAGGATTCTTCGTCCCTCCTCTCCCTCAAATACAGCAATGCTTAGTGGTGACCCCATGTCCACTTTGCACCAGGCTGTTTTTAACTTTCTGTAATACAAGTCACCTTCTCATATGTGATATACTTGACTTGTTGTTGAACTCTGGGCCTGGGCGCTGTCCCTCAGCTCTTCAGCTCAAGGCTAGTGCTCTACCACTTGAGCCACAGTGCCACTTCTGTCTTTTCTGGCAATCAACTGGAAATAAGAGTCTCAGAGATTTTTCTGCCCAAGCTGGCTTTGGATTTTGATCCTCAGATCTCAGCCTCCTGAGTAACTAAGATGACAGGAGTGAGCCACTGGTGCCAGCCAGCTTTTTTTTTTTTTAATGAATGAATGAATGAACCACAGTGTTGGGATCTCTAATGTTCATCCTCTGCTCCCCACAGGAGAATAGTTGACAAAGAGAAAAGTAAACAGTCCCACCGCGCCCTCAAGATGAAGTGCTGTACACAGTGTTTGAACTCTGTCTCTCGGGTAGGTCTGCCTTGGGCTGGATTCCATCCCACGTGCCTTGTGGGAACCTGCCATCCCTTACATGTTGGGAAGACAGGGCACACGCATTCGGCCACGGGAATTGCCTCCTCCCCTCCCTGTGAATCATTCCCTGTTTCTTCTTCCTCTTTTCGGTGCTGGAGATTGCACTCAAGAGGCCATGCATCCTGAGCATGTGCTCTGCCACTGAGCCCTAACCCCTGCCCCTTCTCACTTTTTTAGAGCCTTTGAACTGTCTTTTAGATCCTCATAAAGTACATCATCACCTGTGTGGGGATGGTAGTCAGCCACCATGGAACACCAGAATTCAATCCTTCTGTGTTTTGGTACCTGTTACCAAAAAGGTTCTTTCCTTCCTACAACCCTTCTCAACCTCCAATGATTTAGATGGAGTGTTTCCTTACATGCAGAGAGAGCATGTGGTCCTTGCCTTCCTATGATTGTCTGGTTCCACTTAGTCTTATCTATTTTGCTGCAAATGACTGGATTTCACTCTTCTTGGTGGCTGAATAATATTCCATGGTACAGATATGCCACATTTGTTTCTGTTGGTCATGGGGCTTGAACTTGGGGCCTGGGCTCTTGTGCTTAAGACTAGTGCTCTACCACTTTGAGTCACAGCACCATTTCCGGTTTTCTGGTGGTTCATTGGAGATAAGAGTCTCATGGATTTTCCTACCCGGGCTGGCTTTGAACTAGGATCCTTAGATCTCAGCCTCCTAAGTAGCTAAGATTATAGGCATGAGCCACCAGCGCCTGGCTACACTGTATTTTCTTTAGCCATTCATCTATTGATGGACATCCAAGTGGAAGGGTATCTTAGCTATCACAAATAGTGCTTTAATTACCAGAGGTGTGCAGGCAACTCTGCCAGGCATGTGGATTCATTTTTCCTTTGGAGATATGCCCACTGGGGAGACAGCTGGATCTCCATTTAGTGTTTCACAAAACATCTGTAAAGGGTGTACTAATATGCATTCCCATGGTAAAAATGAGCACAGCAAGAAAATGACCGTGGAGAGGGCCCGGAGCGTGGGCAGGAGGGGACACAGGGAAGGGGAGCCGCCCTTGGGTGCTGTCCAGCTCAGCATGGGTGTGGGGGAAGGAGGTGGGCATGGGGAAGGTCTGGGAGGAGGAGGAGGAGCTAGTTGAGCCCATTGGCATCTGAGTGTCCTCAGCAACATCGAGAGGGTGGGTGTAAGAGATGCAGCCAGGTACAGCGTAAAGGCTCTGGAGGTGGTTTTCCTGTATTACAGGGAGGTGCTTGAGGGGCGGGAATGCAGTCATTGGCACTGCCTCCACACCCCTAGGCTTACCGGAGATGCAAGAACAGCCTTTCGGAGCTCCTCAATTCCATCAGTCTGTGGCAGAAGAGGTTCAAGGTCATCGGCGGCAAGTTTGGAACCAGCGTCCTCTCCTATTTCAGCTTCCTCAGGTGGCTTTTGAAGTTCAACATCTTCTCGTTCATTGTGAACTTCAGCTTCATCGTCATCCCTCAGTTTACCGTAGGGGAACCGAACACCCTCCAGTTCACCGGGCTGGAGTTCTTCACTGGAGCAGTAAGTCCTCTGCTTCCTCCTGCCCCTTGCTCCCCAAACCCCTGCCCAGAACTCTGGTGTTGCTTCAGGGCTGACTGATATGCAAAGCGCCCAGTCCTGTGGGGGATTCGGGCATTCCTTTCTTTTGTTTGTTATAAAAGATGGACTTGTGGCTCACACCTGTCATCCTAGCTACTCTGAAGGCTGAGATCTAAGGATGGAAGTTCAAAGCCAGCCTGGGCAAGAAAGTCCTTGAGACTCTTATCTCCAATGAACCACCTAAAAGCCAGACATGGATCTGTGGCTCCAAGTGGTAGAGCACTAGCCTTGAGTGAAAAAGCTCAAGGAGAATGCCCAGGGCCCGAGTTCAAGCCCCAGAGCTGGTGTACGCATGCATGTGCGTGCACACGCGCGCGCGCACACACACACACACACACACACACACACACACAAAGCAGAAAATCAAGAAAATAAACCCTGGTAAGGGCAAAAAGCTAACTAACCATCTAACTAACTAAATAATATAGGTTACAGATATCAGGGCATTTTGCTTTGCAATTTCGCAGCAAGCCTTCTCTGAGAAATAAGGCCGCATGTTTGCAGTCGCAATACTTTAAAAAAAAAAAGGTTTAACAAAGCTAAAAATTAATGCCACCTAAAATCCAATCCATATTCAAAAGTTTCAGGCAGAGTCTCATGCTTTTCCCCTGCTGGCTTTGGACCTTGGTCCTCTTGATATGTGTGTCTCCTGAGTAGCTGGGATTACAGGTGCATGCCACCTTGCCCCACCTACCTGACTTGATTCTCCTTATTGCCGCATCCAGGGTTATTTTCGGGACACAGTGATGTACTATGGCTTTTACACCAATTCTACCATCCAGCACAGGAACGGTGGGGCCTCCTACAACATGCAGCTGGCCTACATCTTCACGATCGGCGTGTGCTTGGTCATCTGCTTCTTCAGTTTGCTGTTCAGGTACACAGCACTGGCACTGGTGACTCTGGGCCTTGTTTTAGATTTAAGCAACATCCAAGAAGGTTTTAAAAATAAACCCAGGAAGTAGTAATATTTTCACCACTTTGACTTGCCGAGGCCGTGTAATCCTCCCTTGTCCCAAAACATAAAAGAAGAGTTGAACAGAAAAAGAGAAGTTCTGTTGTGCCTGTAAGAACAAACCAGATGCCAGTGGCTCATGCACACCTGTAATCCTAGCCACTCAGGAGGCTGAGATCTGAGGCTCTCAAAGCCAGCCCAAAGCAAGAAAGTCTGTGAAACTCTTATCTTCAATTAACCAGCAAAAAGCTGGAAGGGGAGCTGTGGCTCAAGATCAAGGTTGCTGTCTTCTGAGTATCTCTCTCCTTGGCTTATCGATGCCAGTTGCTGTAGTTTGGATCTGGAACATTCTCAAAGGCCCGAATGTTCAAAGCTTGGAGATTTTTAACGGGAGGTCTTTAGCTCATTGGAGGCCTGCCCTCCCAAGGGACTATGGGGCCATGGACTCTCCCTATCTCTCTCTGGCTTCTTGGCCATGGAGTGAGGGATTCTGCCCTCCATGATGTACCACCACTGGCCCAAAGCAGCAGGGCCAACTAATCATGGACTGAAATCTGAAAAACAAAACAAAACCTTAGCCAAAACAACCCTTTTCTCTTTATAAGTTGACACTCTCAGGAAAGCTGAGGAGCACAGACGTTCTCCGAGTCTTCATAGGATTCTCATTCTGCATACATCTGTTCCTAAGTTCTATTTCTCTTCCTCTCCTCCTTTCTTCCTTCTCTTCATCCTTCTCCTTCTTCATCCTCCTTTCTTTGTTTTTTGCTCTTCCTTCCCCTTCCTCTCTTTTCCTTCCCATCTCTCTTCGTGCTTCTCTCCCTCTCCCTCTCCCTCTCCCTCCCCCTCTGTCTCTGTCTCTCTCTCTCTCTGCCTCTCTCTCTCTCTCTCTCTCATGTTGGTCCTGGGCTTGAACTCAGGGTCTGGACTCTATTCCTGAGCTTCTTTTGCTCAAAACTAGCACTCTACCACTTGAGCCGCAGCCCCATTTCTGTGTGTGTGTGTGTGTGTGTGTGTGTGTGTGGTTGTTGTTGTTGTAGTTTAGTAATGATAAGAGTCTAATGGACTTTCCTACCCAGTCTGACTTTGAACTGCATTTCTCAGATCTCACCCTCCTGAGTAACTCAGATTACAGTTGTGAGCCATCAGCATCTGGCCTTTCTTCTCTTTTACTATGATGGGTATTGAAGCCATGACCTTGCTCTGCCACTAAACTGTGCCCCTTGCCCTCCTCTCCTCTTCTTAAAAGAACACCAGTCTTAGCCAGGCTCACATCTGTAATCCTAGCTATTTAGGAGTCTGAGATCTGAACATTGCAGTTCAAAGCCAGCCCATGCAGGAAAGGTTGTGAGATCTCCAATAAATCACTCAGAAAACCAGAAGTGGCGCTGTGGCTCAAGTGGCAGAGTGCTAGCCTTCAGCTGAAGAGCTGAGGGACAGCACCCAGGCCCAGAGTTCAAGCCCCATGACCAAAAAAAAAAAAAAGAACACCAGTCTTTTTGGATTAGGAAGGACCCACCCTAATGACTTTATTTTTACTTAATCACCACTGGTTAAAGGCCCCATCTCTAAATACAGTCACATACTGAGGGATTCAGGGTTAATATCTTCAATGAATACATTGTAGTGGACACACTTCAGTCAATAGCCCCACTGCTAACATGACCAAAAAGAGATTTTTGTTTGTCCTGGCAAACTGGGAAATATGTCTTCAGTTAATGTTACTCAGGGATGACAAATGTTGGAGAAACAGTTCCAGTTCTGCTCAGAATTTAAATACATGCCAAGGTCAGCACTCCTGGGCCTGATCACAGCCTTGGGATCTTAACAACAGCCACTACAGAGTGTTTGCTGTTATAAGTTCTGCCCTGAGGCTTGTGATTGGCTGAGTAGTGTCTCTTGTGATTGGCTGAGTAGTGTCTCCTGTGATTGGCTGAGTAGTGTCTCCTGTGATTGGCTGAGTAGTGTCTCTTGTGTTTGGCTGAGTAATGTTTCCCTGCTCCGGGCAGCTGTTAACATGGTAATCCCTGGAACCAGTGGGCAGGTTATATTACATTACAAAGTGGACTTTTGCAGATAAGATGAAGACTCTTAAAATGGAGAGAGTATCCTGGATTCCTCAGGAGAAAACCATAGAATCACAAAGGCCCTTCTAAGAGGGAAGCAGAAGTCAGGGAGGTGTGGAAGATGCTTCTCTGAAAGCTTTGAAGACGGAGAAGGGACCACAAGTCAAGGAGTTGAGGGAAGCTTCTAGAAGCTAGAAGAGGCAGGAAAGGAATCTTCCAATGTTCTTCCAGTACTTTTTTGTGCTTCTTCATACAAAAGGAGCCCAGCCCTGTCAGCATTCTAATTTTAGCCTTATAAAACCCATGCTCTAAATGCTGACCTTCAAAAGCATTCGATGAGAAATGTGTGCTGTTGTAAGTTGGTGGTAACTTATTACAACAGCTAGCCTCGTACAAGCTCTAAGTGGGAGCCGTTATTCTTCTCCCCTTGGTGTGAAGGTAGAAAGTGAGGTTCAGAGCATATAACAAGATAAGGATGGCACAGTTGGCGAATCCAGGATGGGCAGCCCGGCTTGTCTGTCGCAAAGCCAGAGCTCAAGACTGTGGCGTGGTGCTGTGGGAGGAGCTCCATCTCACCCTTCACCGTGGCCAGCCAACGGCTGACCTTTGTCCAATCTCTGCCATCCTAATAACCAAGGGGTCTTTGCTGTCTGCCTTCCCTAGCATGGCCAAGTACTTCCGGAACAACTTCATTAACCCCCACATTTACTCCCGAGGCATCGCCAAGCTGGTGTTCTGCTGGGACTTCACTGTCACCCATGGGAAGGCCGTGAAGCTCAAACAGAAGAACCTCAGCACTGAGATACGAGTAAGGCACACTCCCCCCCGCCCCGCGCCTTTCCACACTGGCTCCTTTCCCACCCCCACCCCCTCCTATACGTCTATGAGGCTGGCAATAAGAAAAATTAAAATATGTGTATTACCTAGGGCTATGGTACTATTTGTAGTGTAGGGAGATGGACATTTTTATATGACTGGGGAGCTTGGTAATTGGTGCTACCTGCCTAGATGCCAGTTTAGCAATCCATGTCCAGTTCTTAAATTGTGCCAGGTATGGTGGCACATACCTGTAATCCCAGCCCACAGGAAACTGCAGCAGGAAGCCTGTGAGTTCCAGATTAGCCTTGGCTACATAGCAAGACTCTTGTCTCAAAATTAACAAGCAGGCCAGGCGTTGGTGGCTCACGCCTGTAATCCTAGCTATTCAGGAGGCTGAGATCTGAGTATCATGGTTCAAATCCAGCCTGGGCAGGAAAGTCTATGGCACTCTTATCTCCAGTGAACCACCAGAAAACCAGAAGTGGTGCTGTGGCTCAAGTGGTAGAGCACTAGCCTTGAGCTGAAGAGCTCAGGGACAGCGTCCAGGCCCAGAGTTCAGGCCTCATGACCAACAACAACAAAAAATAACAACCAGATAACATAAGAAATTTGCAATGGAAGCTGTTGATCAATAGAGGCTGGTAGGTGGGGAAGAGAAAGCAATAGAGTTGCCAGGTGGTAGTGGCTCACCCTTGTAATCCTAACTACTCAGCAGGATGAGATCTGAAGATCACAGTTTGAAGCCAGCCAGGGTAGGATGGTCCTACCGACTCTCATCTCCAATTAGTCACAGAAGAAGCCACAAGTAGTACTATTGCTCAAGTGGTAGAGCACTAACCTTGAGCAGAAGAAGCTCAGTGATAGCAGCCAGGTCCAGGACTCTGTGTGTGTGGTAGTTGGGGGGGGGGGGGGGGAAGCAGTAGAGTTATTCTGCACAAAACATAGCGTGTGCATGTTTGAGATACAGTAGTGAAAACTCCTTAGTGTAATTAAGACACACTGAAAAAAAAAAAAAGAATGACAGCAAAGTAAAGTGGACTTGGGTTTGTGAGGTGGGAACCAATAGGGAGGCGGGGGAGGGAGAGAGAGGATGCAAATGGTTGAAGGTGTTTATTTGCATGTATGAAAGTAGAACAGTGGAACCTATTGAAATGGTTTTGGGGAGGAGGAGTGGGATGGGGAGATTCATAGATGAGCTGAGGTTGATTGAGATCCATTGTTTATGTATGTGGAAATGGCACAATGAAACCTACCAATATATGTTCACTACAAGAAAAGCAAAACCCAAACCAAAGGGCCCATGAGCTCCACGCCTTCAAGAATAAGATCAAAAACTATGGGTCTTGGTCTGGGAAGGTGTCTCAGCGGTACAGTGCTCGCCTTGCATGCAGGAGGCCCTGGGTTTGATTCCTCAGCACCACATGAGCAGAAAAAGCCAGAACTGGTGCTGTGGCTCAAGTGGTAGAGTGCTCGCCTTGAGCTGAAGAGCTGAGGGACAGTGCCCAGGCCCAGAGTTCAAACCCCACGACCGACAACAAATAAAATAAAATAAAAAGCTATGGGTCTTTGTCAGAGATGGAAAGGAAATTTAGCCAAGATGATGGGGTTCTTGGCCATTTTGAGATTCTCCCATAATCCATTTCCAGCATGAACTTCCGCCTCACCTGCAGATCTGGGTGGCTTTGTGACCCGTGGGTCAAGTTGACGGGCGTGTGTTTGCAGGAGAACCTGTCGGAGATTCGTCAGGAGAACACCAAATTCACGCTCCACCAGCAGCTGACCCGCTTTTCTGCCCACGTGGTGGCCTGGCTCGTCTCTACGGGAATGGCCGCAACCTGTTGTGTAGCTGTGTATTACCTGTCTCAGTTCAACTCTGAGGTAAAGCAGATAGACAGGATGATCCCGTCTGGAAGCAAAGAGCCAGAGGCTAGGCTGGGTAAAGGGGAGGTGGTACAAAGCCCTTCCTTTTAGTCTGGATTGGTGGCTGGGTGTTTAAAACTGTGTATCTTGGGAATGGATGCTAGTGACTGACTCACACCTACTCACAGCTACGGAAGGGGTTGAGATATGAGGATCGAGGTTCAAACCCAGCCTGGGCAAAAAAGTCTATGAGTCTTACTTCCAGTGAATCACTAGAAAAATGGAAGTGGAAGTGTGGCTTAGGTGGTAGAGCACCAGCTTTGAGCAAAATAGCCAAGCAAGAGTGTGAGATAATGAGTTCAAACTCTGGTACCAGCCCCCAAAACAAAACAAAACAAAATTAAGAACACCTTCACAATCTCCCTGGGCAGGAAAGTCTCTGAGACTTTTTTTTTTTTTTTTGGTCAGTTGTGGGGCTTGAACTCTGGGCTTGGGCGCTATCCCTGCACTCTTCAGCTCAAGGCCAGTGCTCTACTGCTTGAGCCACAGCACCACTTCTGGTTTTCTGAGTAGTCTATTGGAGATAAGAGTCTCACGGACTTTCCTGCCCAGGCTGGCTTTGAACTGCAGTTCTCAGATCTCAGCCTCCTGAGTAGCTAGGATTACAGGTGTGAGCCACCGGTGCCCGGCTCTGAGACTCTAATTTCCAATGATCCACCAGAAAACCAGACATGGAGCTGTGGCTCAAAGTGGTAGAGTGCTAGCCACGAGCAAAAGAACTAAGGGACAGTGCCCAGGCCCTGAGTTCAAGCCCCATAACCGACCAGAAGAGAGAGAGAGACAGAGAGAGACAGAGAGAGACAGAGAAGGTCCAGCACTGAGTGGGCATCTTGGTCCTCTCCTCCACTCTGACAGTTCCTGAAGACACACAGGAACCCCGGGGCCGTGCTCTTACTGCCTTTCGTCGTATCCTGTATCAACCTGGCTGTACCACGCTTTTACTCCATGTTCAGGCTTGCGGAGAGGTTTGAGATGCCACGGCATGAAGTCTACGTCCTCCTGATTCGGTAGGTGTGTCTGCCATACTCGAGTAAGGCCTCATTTCTAGGGAGCCAAAAGAGATTTGGCTCAAATCCCCAAGTTCTGAGCTCCAGAAGGACAGAATTCCAAGAGTAGCCCAGGTCCACCAAAAAAACCTTGCGAAAATACACTTACTGAGTACAAATGCTTTTTCTAGGTCCCCTTTCCCTCAAAGTGATCCGTTACTTTTCTCAATAACTGTCCTCCTCCTCCAGGATAACACCTATAGATGGGCCGGGCGGTGCATTGCACCAAGGCCTCTGGCTGAGGAATTATGGGGGACTGAAACCATACAGAATCAAACCAAGCCCTGGTTCCCACAGCACCACGTCTGGGGAGACACAGTTCTGCGACTCAGGCCGCCCACCCCCACAGAGGTGGGAGGGGGTCACTCATTGACCCCAGAGTTTGATAGATAAAGGTGAATGCTACCCAAATCCAGACATGATAGCTGGTTTTCTCAGTGGCCCTGCCTGAAGATGACTTTCCTTTACGGTTCACTGTTAGGGGCTGCTCCTTCCCATGGCCTCGGAGATCTGGCTCCTGGGCCAATGGTCCAGCCTCATCTTTCTGCCTCTGTCCTCCTTGATCATGGCCCCTTCTCCCTCACTGGCCTCCTAAGTGTTCACACACATGCCCAACTATGTACCTACCTCCAGGCCTTTGCACTGGCTGTGCTTTCTGCCTGGAAAGCTCTTTTTCCACAGAGAGGAACATGGCTCATTTTCTGGCTTTCTTTTGACTTCTGCTCCCAGGTTGGAGAGCTCCTCCCTAACCTCCTCACTTCCCTTTCTTCTCTGCATCATAATTTTCTTACCAAATACTAACTTTCTTATTTATTGGTTTCTTACACTCCACACACACACACACACACACACACACACACACTCTTTGCCTTGTTCACAATTACCTGAGACATAACAGGTTATCAATACTCATGGTGGAAATGAATGGCTGAACACGTCAGTCACGCAGTCTCTTTCATTATCCCTCCACATGGACCACATTACCCCTTTTGTAGGTGTGGGCACCGTCACCCCCATAACCTTGCATTCTGGGTAAGATGGATGTAATGGACCAGAGTTGTAAAGACGAAGGGGGAAGATTAAGGAGAGCAGGCATCCAAGACACCTTTCCACTGAAGAACATTTACTATTAAAGCAACAGGAAGTTAGGTGATGTAACAGAAGAGCGTCAGAATAAATTGGGTTATGCTGCCATAACAAAAATCCCCCAAGGAGGAGGCAGGCGAGAACTGATTGTATATACCACAGAACTGAGAACTGTAAGGGCAGGGGTGGGTGAAGGGGCTGTGAAGTTGTTGAAGTAATGGCACGCATCGAGATGCATTGTGTGCATTAACTACTTTGTTAAATGGCCAAAAAAAAGAAAACATTACATAAGCTAAAATGAGGATAGGGGTAATAAAGGAGGGTGAGAACGTTGGAAGGGGTCACCTCGATCAAGATGCACGGTATTCATAATGCAATTACTCAAAAAAGTCCCCCCAGATCTCCACAGCCTGGGAAACAATGGCTTCTTTCTTTCCTGTGTGACCTCTGCACTGTGGACCGGCCAGATGATTCTGCCTGTGATATCCCCTAAGGGGCCAGGCTGTGAGCACAGGAACATAATTGGGAGACAAGGCGTTAGAGGATCACACGCTGGCTTAGAGGCCATAGTGATAAGTCTCACTCCTGCTCACCTGCCATTGGTTAGATCTAATCAGTCAGATGACCTCCAGCCTGCCAGAGTGTTGGGGCAGGGGGGCGGGACAGGAAGGGCAGGACCATCTCTCCACAGATATGTTGGCAAGCACACGCTCAGGAGGCTCCACGGAGGGTAACGAGAGCTGTTTCTCTTCTGTGGTTGATCTAGAAACATCCTGCTGAAAATTTCCATCATTGGCATTCTTTGTTACTACTGGCTCAACGTGGTGGCTCTGTCAGGAGAAGAGGTGAGAGATCCCCGGGATGTTCTGCCCTCTTGAGTTGTCATTGCTTGGTCTTACCATGGAGGATGTGAGTTTCTGGATGGCCATCACTCTGTGTTTGGCACAAATGCCTTTGGGGCAGAGAGAGGAATGAGTCTAGGAGACAGCCACATGGCATAAGAGGTCACCATGAACACGCGAAGATCCTAGTCAAAAGCCAGCTGCATCATCGCTCAACCTCTTGAGGCATCAGTTTTCCCATCTGTAACATGGGCACGCTGGCTTATACCATTGTGGGTGGAATAAGCGTGTGCCCAGCATATACTAGACATGCTGTGGTGGTGTCCCATCCCTGATACATTCTGGTCCTCCCTCATTTGCCGGTGGCTTTTAAGTCCTCCCTCACCTCGGGTGATAGCGTCCAGCCCACCCACCTAGAGAGTTGTGCCCCACATGCCTTCAGGGAAACTCCACCCTCTCTGGTCATCCCCTCATGATGCCTCTGCTTCCCCAAGACAGACAGCCTCTACCTCTACCGGATTTCTTCGCTTTTGCCAGTGCTAGGCCCTCAAGGCACAGGAAGCCCTGGAGTTTGAAGTAGAGTTGGGGAAGAAAGGGCATCTCTTTAACTCTCTGCCACACTTTGTCCCTGAGCCCACCACACACAACACTGCTGTGCCCAGATGCAAATTGTTTTGCATGAACATGACACTCTCATCTTTTCATCCAAGTTATTGAAGAAGTTCAAACCAGCCTTCCTTAATAGGTGGTTAGAGAAGATATCTTGCTATCCTTCCATCTATCCATCCATGCATTGATCTGTCTGTCTGTCCATCCATTCATCTGTTCATCCATCCATCATTTATCCATCTATCTATCCACTGTACATTTATCCATCTGTACATCCGTTCATCCATCTACTCATCCATTCATTCATTCACTGATCCATCTATCTGTTCATCTGTCCATCTATCCATTTGTCCATCCATCTATTGACCTGTCCATCCATTAATCTATCCATTTCTATGTATCTATCCACTCATCTATCCATCTATTCACTAACCCATTCATCTGTCATTCCACCAGTCCATCCTTCTATCCATCCATCCATGCATTCATCCTTTTCTCTCTCCATCTATGTATCTACCCATCTATCCATTCTTGGGCTGCACACACAAAACTTCCCTCTCCTCCCTAAGCCAAACCTAAAAGCTCCAGCCTATCAGCAACTTGCACTGGCTTTCTGCAGAACTTAATAACCACAAATTTCATAAACCAATGCCTTTGGGGCATTAGCCTGCTTACACCTCAAAGTCATTATCTCAGTCAAGCAGACACTGACTGATTTTCTGTGTGGTCATTGGGCAAAAAGAAGAGAAGCATTCTTAACGCCAGTGCCTCTCATGTTCCTGAAGAACCCAATTACCCTGGGCCAAGAAATGGGATGCAGAAGGAAAAGGTCTGAGATGAAATGACTTAAAGGGAGGGCTGATGAGAAAGGGGAGTTGGTACATGTGGAAGGTCAGCCCTAGGAAAGGCAGAAGAGAGAAGCACAAAGGGGAATCAGCATCCTTGAAAACAAACTTGGCCCCATTTGTGCAAAGAGGGAAATCTGCTTTTCTGGGTACTAAGGTCTGGATCAAGCCCCCAGCCACTTCTAAGCACACGAAGCCAGGGATGGAACAGATAAAACAGAGCCCCACTTGGGGCTGGGAAGGTGGCTCAGTGGTAGAGCACTTGCCTTGCATGCCTGAGGCCCTGGGTTTGATTCCCTAGTACCACATAAGCAAAAAGAAAAAAGCCGGAAGTGGCGCTATGGCTCAAGTGGTAGAGCGCTAGCCTTGAGCTGAAGAGCTGAGGGACAGCGCCCAGGCCCAGAGTTCAGGCCCCACGACTGGAAAAAAAAAAAAAAAAACAGAGCCCCACATCCTGACTCTCGTCTGCGTTCCAGTGTTGGGAGAGCCTCATTGGCCAGGAGATCTACCGGTTCCTCCTGATGGACTTCGTGTTCTCCATAGCAGATTCCTTACTGGGGGAATTTCTTCGGAGGTAAATAATTGTCATCAAGAATATTTAATTGGCCAGGCACTGGTGGCCTGTAATCCTGAAAATCCTAGCTACTCAGGAGGCTCTGATCTGAGGATCGCAGTTTAAAGCCAACCCAGGCAGGAAAGTCCGTGAAACTCCTGTTGCCAACAAACTACCAGAAAACCAGAAGTGGTGCTGTGGCTCAAGTGGTAGGGTGCTCGCCTTAATTGTTCCTAGTGCTGACCCCACAGGACTGTACTGATCTGCCCACTGACTTAGGAACAGCATTCTCTTCTAAGCCAAATTTTACCTTAACCTGCTGTCTTGATTCATTGAGTCCAGGTGATCCTTGATAATTTTCTTTCTTTCTTTTTTTTTTTTTTTTTTTTTGGGTCCGGTCGTGGGGCCTGAACTCTGGGCCTGGGCGCTCTCCCTCAGCTCTTCAGCTCAAGGCTAGCACTCTACCACTTGAGCCACAGCGCCACTTTTGGCTTTTTTCTTTTTGCTTATGTGGTGCTGGGGAATAGAACCCAGGGCCTCATGCATGCAAGGCAAGCGTTCTACCACTGAGCCACCTTCCCAGCCCCAATAATTTCTTTTAAAAAAGAATCTCACAGACTTTTCTGTCTGGGCTGGCTTTAAACCACAATCCTCAAATCTCAGCCTCTTGAGTAGCTAGCCTTCCAGGCATGAGCCATTGGCACTCTGTTCACTTAGCTTCTTTGCTCAAGGCTGGCACCCTACTGTTTGAGCCATGTTTCCACTTCTGGCTTTTTGGTGATTAGTTGGAGATATATCTCGAATTTGCCTGTGCTGACTTCCAGTTGCAACCCTCAGATCTCAGCCTCCTGAGTAGCTAGGGTTATAGGTGTAAGCCTCTGACTACTGGCTATTAACTCTTTTTCACAACCCAGATACACTCAGTACCTCCCCTCAAATGGGCCAACTTCTGTTATCATTTTTTTTTGTTTTTGTTTTTGTTTTGTGCTGGTCTCACTCACAGTGTTCCTGGTCTGTAGGAGATCTTTGGAAGAGGGAGGTGTTTTGTTGTTATTTTTACAGTTTGAGAACTAGTCTAGTATCTTTTCACAGGCTCATTGGGATGAAGTTTAGCACCAGCTGTGGCTTACAGGAGTTTGACATTGCCAGGAATGTTCTGGAACTGATCTACTCACAAACTCTGGCATGGTAAGTTTTGCAGCTTGGTTGGCTCCTACCTCAATACAGACTTGAAATTTTGGAGATGAACTCCCAAATCTGTTGTTTTGAAAACTGCATGGTGGTGTATATATGTTGTGGGGGGGTGGGGAGAGATATCGAATCCTAGCTAGTGACTTTTCTAAGAAAAAAAGAAAAAGGAAAAGTGGAATGCCCCCCCCGGGGGGTCTGAGTGTTTGTTCTAAGGACTGTGAGGGAAGAAAGCGTCTCTCCCAGGACTCCATCCTTGGCTGATGACTGTCTTCTCCCTGAGGGTTTGCATAATCATCTGTCCATGTATTTGTGGCCCAATCTCTTCTTGGAAGGCCACTAATCACATTGACTAGGACCCAGCGCAGATCATTTTAACTTAATTATTGCTTTAAAGACCATCCCCTTTGTCCAAATGCAGGCACATTTGGAGGTTGTGTGTGTGTGTGTGTGTGTGTGTGTGTGTGTGTGTGTGTACATCATCATAGGAAGTTTGGTGGTGGTGATGAGGCTTGAGCTCAGGGCTTGGGCACTGTCCCTGAGATTTTGTGCTCAAGACTAGAACTCTACCACTTTGAATCACAGCACCACTTCTGGTTTCCTGGTGGTTAGAAACAAGAGTCATGGGCTGGGAATGTGGCTCAAGTGGTAGAGTGCTAGTCTTGAGCAAAAAAAAGCTCATGGACAGTGCCCAGGCTCTGAGTGCAAGCCCCAGGACAAGAAAGAAAGAAAGAAAGAAAGAAAGAAAGAAAGAAAGAAAGAAAGAAAGAGAAAGAAAGAAAGAAGAAGAAAGAAAGAAAGAAAGAAAGAAAGAAGAAAGAAAGAAAGAAGAAAGAGAGAGAGAGAGAGAAGAGAGAAAGAAAGAGAGAAAGAAAGAAGAAGAGAAGAAAGAAGAAAGAGAGAGAGAGAGAAAGAGAGAGAGAGAGAAAGAGAGAAAGACAGAGAAAGAAAGACAGAGGAGAGAGAAAGAGAGAGAGAAAGAAAGAGAGAGAAAGGAGAGAGAGAAAGAGAGAGAGAGAGAAAGAGAGAGAAGAGAGAGAGGAGAGGAGAGAGAGAGAGAAGAGAGAGAGAGAGAAAGAGAGAGAGAGAGAGAAAGAGAGAAAGAAAGAAAGAAAGAGAGGGGGAGAGGGGGGAGAGGGAGAAGGAAGGGGAAGGGAGAGAGAGAGGAAGGAGGAGGAGGAGGAGGAGGAGGAGGAGGAAGAGACATATGGACTCTCCTGACTGAGCTAGCTTCAAACTGTGATCCTCATATCTCAGCCTCCTGAGTAGCTAGGATCACAGGCATGAGCCACTGGTTCCTGGCAGTCATAGGAACTTTAAGGGGGGACACAGTTCCACACTCTCCCTTCCTCATCCACCCTCCACTCTGCTCTCTCGCCCGGTCTCTGACACTCACCCCCTTTTTCCTCACAGGCTCGGAATCTTCTTTAGCCCTCTGCTGCCCTTGATCCAGATGGTGATGCTCTTCATCATGTTTTATGTCAAAAATGTGAGTCCACCCCAGTCAGCTTCCCCCAATCAGCTTGCAGCCAGGCAGCTTGAAGCCAATCAGCTGCACTTATATTTCCTTGGGGCATGTGGGGGCAGGACTGGGGAGGAGCCTGGAGGCAGGGATGGGGTGTGGTGGGATCTCCTTCCTGGGCAGATTTGGGAGGTGACTTGTGTGTCTCTCTCCTCAGATCAGCCTCATGATGAACTTCCAGCCTCCAAGCAAAGCCTGGAGAGCCTCACAGATGATAACGTTCTTCATCCTCCTGCTCTTCTTCCCGTCCTTCACTGGGGTTCTGTGCACCCTGGCCATCACCATCTGGAGGTAGGGCATGGAGGCCATAACTGAGGCTTAAGAGACCAGGCCTAAGCTGGGCCTTGGTGGCTCATGCCTGTCATCCTAGCTACTCAGGAGGCTGAGATCCGAGGATCAAGGTTCAAAGCCAGCCCAGGTGGGAAAGTCCGTGAGATTCTTTTTGTTTGTGTGTGTGTGTGGTCGGTCATGGGGCTTGAGCTCTGGGCCTGGGCGCTGTCCCTCAGCTCTTCAGCTCAAGGCGAGCACTCTACCACTTGAGTCACAGCGCCACTTCCGGTTTTCTAGTGGTTTATTGGAGATAGGAGTCTCATGGTCTTTCCTGCCCAAGCTGGCTTTGAACCGTGATCCTCAGATCTCAGCTTCCTGAGTAGCTAGGATTACAGGCGAGAGCCACTGGCGCCTGGCTTCCGTGAGACTCTTATCTCCAATAAACCACTAGAAAACTGGAAGTGGTGCTGTGGTTCAAGATGTAGAATGCTAGCCTTGAGCTGAAGAGCTAAGGGACAGCGCCCAGGCCCAGAGTTCAAGTCCCAGGACCGACAGAAAAAAAAAAAGAAACTAGGCTTAGTGGTGCCTGTCATCCTAACCACTTGGGAGGCAGAGATAGGAGGATGGAGGGTTGAGGCCAGCCCTACAACAACAACAACAAAAAGTAAGATTCAAAGAATTAAGAGAGTGTTGCAGTACCCACCCATAATTACACTCATGCAGGAAGCCTAGGTAGGTGGAGGATATGTAGAGAAAAGAGAAGAAACGAAAGGTGGCTGGGGGCGTGGCTCAAGTGGTAGAGCGCTAGCCTTGAGCTGAAGAGCTCAGGGACAGCGCCCAGGCCCAGAGTTCAAGCCCCATAAGTGACAAAAAAGAAAATTCTTTTTGGACAATGTCAGCCCTTCCCTTGCTCTCTCCCAGTTCTCTCCTGTCATTCTCATGTACATGTTGTATAGTTGCTCTGTGTTCTTTAGAACTTGGTCTAGGGGTGGCTGGGGTACAGGATCAGTGAACAGATAAAGAGGGTGGCTGGGAATGGGGGTGGGCTGTGTGTTGGTGGGTCTGCGTAGGAAAGTCATGCTTTAGAAACTAGCCCTGGGAAGACAGTCTCACCGGGTCAGACTCCCCCGTTGTTAAAACAGAACTTACGAAGTGCTTCATAACAGGCTGGTAGCTTGTGTCTGTAATCTCCTACCTACTCAGGAGCCTGAGACCAGGAGGACTTGAGGTTCAGAAGCAGCCCAGGGAGAAAAGTCCATGAGATGCCATCTCTAGTGGACAAGCAAAAAGCTAGGCTGGATGCCTGGCTCAAGTGGTAGAACACCAGCTAAGCAACCAAATCCAGCAAGTGTGAGACCCTGAATCCAAACCCTGGTACCAGAAAAACACAACCGATATAGAGCTCTAACCATGGTCTCATAGTAACCTGCAGACACTAAGCATAAAAAGCTGGATTTATTCTACACACCAGGCACCCACACTTGGAAGCAGTTTCCTTGCTTCTGCCAAGGACTGGAAGTTTCCCAGAATGGTAGGGGCCCATGCAGAATGTCATCTCAATGAACCAAAAGGCCCCCTCCCGACCTCCCCTTGGTTCTGTTGTACTGCGGCCCAAGCTCTTGTTCAATTTCTAGTACCCAGCCTTTCCTATCTGCCCCCCCCTACCCTTGCCCTGTGCCTGCCTTGTCTCCTCTGGATTCCAGCTCCAAAGCCACCTCTTAAATTCCACCACCCCTGGGCTGGGAAGTTGGCTCAGTGGTAGAGTGCTTGCCTTGCATGCATGAGGCCCTGGGTTCGATTCCTCAGCACCACATAAGCAGAAGCTGCCAGCAAGTGTCGCTGTGGCTCAAGTGATAGACTGCTAGCCTTGAGCAAAAAAGCAAAAAGCTTAGGGATAGTGCCTAGGCCTTGAGTTCCAACCCCAGGACTGACCCCAAAAAAGAGTTGTTTCCAGGTCCCTGGTGCAGAGAGGACCCTGCTTCGCAGCTGCCTCTATTCCAGTGGCCTTTCCCACCCCTTGTTTTTCCCAGGTTGCGGCCTTCAGCTGACTGCGGCCCCTTTCGAGGGCTGTCCTCCTTCATCGAGGCCATCTACAGCTGGATTGACACCCTGAGCAGGACGCCCGGCTACCAGTGGGTTGTGTGGATCTATCGGAATCTCATCGGCCGGGTGCACTTCTTCTTCATCCTTACTCTCATTGTGCTGTAAGCTGGGCTTCTGGGAAACTTGGGGTAGTGGGGGGAGCTCTAAGGGAACCCTACATGGTAACCAGATGAAGATAATTTAGGGTTGGAAAGCCAAGAGCCACAGCATAGCTCTGGGCTCAGGGTGGTCCTGACTCTACTCTTCAATAGATAGGGTTGTTTGTTTGTGCCAGTCCTGGGGCTTGAACTCAGGGCCAGGGGTTCTGTCCTTAAACTTTGCTTTTTTCTTTTCCTCTCAAGGCTAGAGCCTTACCACCTGAGCCCCAGCTCCATTTCCAGTTGTTTTTTTTTTAATTAGTTTGGTGAGTTTTGGTGCTTAATTGGAGAGAAGAATCTCATAGACTCTCCTGCCAGTTGCTGGGGCTGGCTCCGAACCGCAATCCTCAGATCTCAGCCTCCTGAGTAGCTAGGATGACAGGCATGAGCCACTAGCACCTAGCTGAATAAGTTGTGTTTTTTAATTTTAAATAATTTGTTTAATCTCTTTTTTTTTCCTGGCCACTCTAAGACTTGAACTCAGGGCCTTGCATTGGCTAAACAGACATTCTACCACTCCAGCCACAACCCCAACCTTTTTGCTTTCATTGATACACTTCCACCCCTACACACCCACCACCAACAGTGACCTGCCCAGAGCTTTGTTCTGAGCTGTCTAGACTTTGCATTCACTGGGTCTACAGGCAATGCTCCTCTGCCATGAGTGGCATGGCCTACAACTTAACTGGACCTGGAGTTAGCCTCAGACCTCACAAGTTAAGGGCTCCATCTCACAAGGCTCCACCCACTGCTGATGCAAGTGGCAAGTCCCAGGATGTCACCTGTGCATCTGACTCACTGTCGGTGAGGTCAGGCCAGGTTGTCAGGACCCCTCCGCACATTCAATCACGGGTTGAGATGCCTCAAACTCGAGAAGGTGTTCCTTCTTTACTATTGGTTAGGGAAGAACCAAATGGAAGCCAGGCTTGGAAATCCCATGCTAGCCTTGAGCAGAAAAGCTCAGGGACAGTGCCCAAGGCCTTGAGTTCAAGCCCTAGGACCTGAACAAAAACAAACAAAAAAGAAAAAAAAAACACAACCAAATGAAACTCACTTGTGAGCAAATGTGCTGATTCTTTTGCACCACTGAGATTTGGAGTCTCAAAGCCCTGACCAGCGTGTCTGTGGTTCTGTCTCTTCCTCCAGAATCATCACATATCTTTACTGGCAGATTACAGAGGGAAGGAAGATTATGATCAGACTGCTTCATGAACAGATCATTAACGTGAGTCCCGTTGTTCCTGGAAGCAACCCAGAATGCGAGGGCTTTGGGCAATTCTTAGGAGGATCTTGGGCAGTGTTGGGTAATCGGAGGAGAACTTAAGGTCTCTCACCACAGGCCTGCTTCCTTGAAGGTCTCCCACAGAGATATTGTCTCCCAAAGATCCCAAGCAGATGCAACAGCAACTCTTCTCAAACATTGACCACTGAGTTTTGCCAAACAAAACAAAAAAGCCTAAGCAGGAGAATCATGGTTCAGGCTGGCCAAGATGTAAACAAGAGACCCTATAAGAAAGCTAATGAAAAAAAAGAAGAAAGGGGTGGAGGTATGGTTCAGGTGGTAGAGCACCTGCTGCATAAACTTTGAGGCTTTGAGTTCAAATCCCCTGGACTCCCCCCCCCCAAAAAAAAATCCACTGGTAGATGTTAAAATTAGCAGGTACAAGTTTAAGGAGGAGGGTTGGGAATGTGGCTTAGTGGTAGAGTGCTTGCCTAGCATGCACTAGCATGGGTTTGATTCCTCAGTACCACATAAGCAGAAAAATTGAAGCCTAGAAATGGGTTGACCATGCCTGATCTGCCCCAGACAGAATTGCTGATAGCCGGGGTCCCCTACCTCAACACACAGGTATAATTCCTCCATACCCTCCCAGGAGAAGGTAGCTTTCTTGTTACTCTGTCTAGTTTTGAATCTCAGATCTCCACTAACACAGATAACTTTGGTAAATGGGACATGGACAGGGCTGATTTCGAGATAGGGCTGGGGGAATCGCTTCATGACACAAGTCAGGAAGCCTTTGTGGGCAGGTTGCCATTGGCTTTGCTGTGAAATACATTTCTATTCATTAGAAGACAAGATGGCGGCCATGTCTATCCAGTTTCTGGATCCTTCCTTTTCACCGATGGTTTCTAAACCCAGCACCATCATCCATTCCCCATGTCTTCTTTTTTGGCAGGAGGGTAAAGACAAGATGTTCCTGATAGAAAAGTTGATGAAGCTGCAGGATGCGGAGAAGAGAGGAAACCCCAGCTCACTTGTCTTAGAAAGGAGGGAGGCGGAGCAGGAGGTGAGGTCTGCCGGAAATCAGGTTACAAGGGAATATTAGATTCTTTTTTTTTTTTTTTTGTCAGTTGTAGGGCTTGAACTCAGGGCCTGGGCGCTGTCCCTGCACTCTTCAGCTCAAGGCCAGTGCTCTACCATTTTGAGCTACAGCTCCACTTCCGGTTTTCTGGTGGTTAATTGGAGATAAGAGTTTCACAGGGACTTTTTTGCCCAGGCTGGCTTTGAACCTCAATCCTCAAATCTCAGTCTCCGGCTTCTGAGGACCCCTACCAGGGAGACTGGCCTCCTGTGAAAAGGGCCCCAGCCAATAGAGACCAAGACCTGTCCTGGGCAGATGGAGGTCGGGGGAGATTACACAAGGGCACATGGCTTTCTATGTTCAAGCATTAAGGTGTGTTTTTTATTATTATTTAAAAAATGATGCCAGGAACTGGTGACTCACACCTGTCATCTCTAGCTACTCAGGAGACTGAGATCTGACAATCGCAGGAAAGTCCATGAGACTCTTATCTCCAATGAACCACCACCCTCAGCAAAAGCTGGGAGTGGAGCTGTGGTTCAAGTGGTAGAGCACCAGCCTTGAGCAAATGAGTTCAGGGATAGCACTCGGGTTCTGAGTTCAAGCCCAGGACTGTCATTAAACATAAATAATTATAAAATACTAAGGGGGGGGCACAAATCATGTCCTCTCCCTAGTGATGTAGCAACACTTTCCCCCCTTTTTGGCAGCAACAAGACCCTTTGTATCGGGAGGAGCGTGATTCTGCGCCTGGTGAGTAACAACACAGACACACTGTAGGACATGTATCCAAGCGATGCAGCCCATGGTGGAGGCTGGAATCGCGCCCGTATGGATTTGTTCTTTCATTGTAAACCTGACCCAAACTGGCTGGGGTAGAAATCCAGGAGTTGGGCTTGCTTTAGGCCTGGCCTACAGCAGTCTCATGATATCAGAGCCTTTCTCTGACTTCTGCTCCTTTCACTAACAGGCCATTGCACAGCTGCTTTGCCAATCTCTTCCATCTTCTCTCAGGTTCTGTCTAGTGGGAAAGAGCAAGACCCAGAGGTCTCAGTGTATCATTGGGGCTGATGGACTGAGGCGGCCATCACAAACCAGCTGCTATGCTTTATAATACACAGCACTTTTTTGGGGTCAGATCAGAGTCACGTGACTCTGCTGTGGGTAGATTGTAAGGGAGTTCGGAGAGAGGATTACAAAAACTAAAGGGGAACCCAAGCAAGAAAGGCATGAGCAGCTTGTGGAATCTTCTAGAGGCACTGAAGTGTGTTCATTGTGGACATGGGGCTGGGTGGCTCTCAATGAATTTTTCTTCATCTTCAATTAACTTTCTGTGTCGAATCCAGACCTGAGATTCAGGCGATCCGTTCAAGAAGAGAACCCAAGAGCCTGATGACTACTGTGGCTGGTAGACCGAACCAGTTAAAACGACAAAAATGGAGTTTCTTCCAGGACACCAGAGCAAGGGCCTGGAAGAGCTTCCCAGAGAGGATGTCATGCCGATAGGGAACAAGAACCCACAGTGCAAATGGCCAAGTAAAAGGGGGGCTGTATGCTGCTATTTTTCAAACCTGGATTGCTGATTTTTTTCAAGGCAGAAAAAAAAAATACTTAGGGTTTTCCAATAAAGACTGCTGTGATATTGAAATTAACTCATTCACACACCTGGGAAGAGGTCAGCAGAGAACCATGCATCTTATCTGCAAATGTTATGCCTGAATCACTGGTCCTTAGGAATCTCTCCCTCCCAGAGCTGGCAGAGGTTTTGAAACCTGTGCTAAGGGGTCCAGAATGAATAAAAATATGATCAACTATGTAATTAATCAACTATGTAAAGCACTGCAATTGTCACCTTTGTATTTGTGATTTGGAGCTAAATGCATTTCCAGGTTATTTCCAGACCTCTGATATACCATCAGAGGTCTTGTCTCTAAACTCTGGTATATATTGAGCTCAAAAATTTTAGGGGTTGGACCAAGGTAGGGGAGGTTTGGGGGTACCAAGGGGCAGGGAAATCTTTGCTCCTGAGGTCTTTGCCAAAAGACTCACTGAGTGTTCTTAACACTGAAGGCTCCTCTAGACACTTTTTTTTTTTGGGGGGGGTGCTAATCCTGAAGCTTGAACTCAGAACTGGGTGCTATCCCTGACCTTTGTGCTCAGGGCTAGCACTCTACCACTTGAGCCACAGCTCCATTTTCAGCTTTTTGGCGGTTAATTAGAGATAAGAGTCTGGCTTCAAACCACAATTCTGAGTAACTAGGATTACAGGTGTGAGCTACTGGCACCCAGCTCCCTCTCAAAAGTTCCACTACTTGCTAATCATGCCACAAACTGGGGACCAAGCTTTCAACATGGGAGGCTTTAAGAGGCACTTAACGAAACCCCAGTACTTTCTGATAATGGCTAGAAGCTAGAGGGCTCTTGTAGTGTTGAGGATAGGAAAGAGGAGAGTCTCTTTGGAGTTTGCAGGATCTCAGCCTTCAAGTGACCATTTCTTCTTCTTCTTTTTTTTCTTTTTTTTGGTTGGTCGTGGGGCTTGAACTCTGGGCCTGGGCACTGTCCCTCAGCAATTCAGTTCAAGGCAAGCACTCTACTGCTTGAGCCACAGTGCCACTTCTGGTTTTCTAGTGGTTTTATTGGAGATAAGAGTCTCACAGACATTCCTGCCCGAGCTGGCTTTGAACCGTGATCCTCAGATCTCAGCCTCCTGAGTAACTAGGATTACAGGTGTGAGCCACCGGTGCCTGGCTCTTCTTTATTTTTTTGTCAGTCATAGGGCTTGAACTCAGGGCCTGGGCACTGTCCCTCAGCTCTTTTGCTCAAGACTAGCACTCTACCACTTCAAGCCAGAGTGGTTAATTGGAAGGAAGAGCCTCATGAGAACTTTCCTGCCTGGGCTGGCTTTGAACTGGGATCCTCAGATCTCAGCCTCCTGAGTACCTAGGATTACAGGCCTGAGCCACCAGCACCCAGCAGAAGCAGCCATTTCTTTGAGGCTGTGAGAGCTGTGTGGAATTGGGAAGGCTATGTGTATGAGAAAGACCCAAAGGCTTGACTAAGTGAGGGGCCTGTAACAGAGCTAGGTAAGCTAGGAGGCAGCTTCAACATTTAAAAGCAATGCAAGTTCAATTTAAATCTTGTGATTTAAGTTCACAATAACCCTTACATGTTCATAGGAGAAAGAGCAGAGCCATGGTGAATGGTGAAGAGCATGACCCTGAGGTCAGATCTGCCTGGATTTGAACCTCACAATACATACACCTAGCTTTAACTCTGCCTCTCAGTCATCAATAAAGAGAATGCACCAGAGCGTGTATAGACATCAGAACTCGGTAGAAGTGCAACTCTGCCCCCTGCTGGTTTGCATGTTTACATCCAGCTGTGGCACACATCAGCTTCCTCAAATTCCTTCCACTGCAGGATGCAAGGCTTGGCATACCGTTTTCCTCTCGGGTCCCTTTTAATGATTTTTATTAGTATGGTCACAAGTTTGATATCTACAGTACCTAGTTAACAGCTGAGAACAAACATTTGAAATAAGTAAGTGACTTAAGTATGGCAAGCTTTAAAAGGTCAACTCCAAATACTCATGCAGGTCTCATGCGTCTGCATTTGCAGACTCGCCTCGTGCCCACCCTCGCTGGGCCGGCGGCGCCTCACTGGGTCGGGCAGGATCTGTCGTGCCTTTTCTCAGACCCAGATTCTCAAGATCAACAAGTGCTGAACTTAGGCATTCCATGGGGCATGGTGGCCATCCTGGGTTTTGGTGTGTTCAGGTAAAAATGCAATTACTAAGTGCTTGTGTACGCCCGCCCGATCACGAGGGCTTGGGCCAGCACTCAGGGGGACATTTTGCTATCCCTGTTTGAGGCCAAGAGACAGTTTCTGACCCTTGAGTTTCCCTGTCCCAGGGAGAATTCTAGAACTGGGGCGCACAGTCTTCTATCATACTGTCTGTGATGTAGCTGGCGCCCAGATAGGATTCGTAGTAACTCTTCTCGTTAAAGGTATTCACAGTCCAACCGACCACCTGGACTCCTTTGGCTGACCATTTCTTCAAGTAGTCCCTGGGGAGAGAAGAGAACTCCATTCTGTTAGAAGCATGGTTGCTCAGTGTGGTGGTCATTGAGCCTTCACTGCAGTGGAATAGAACATGCCCCAACCCAGCTGGCCCCATGGCCCCATAATGACTGTCCTCACCCTGCCCATCACTACCTCTCCTCACCTATACCTCCCCCCCCCTCCTCTGGAGATGACTGAGCCCTTCCATGTCTGAGAGCCAACAGAACTTTTTGTGGTCATGTTAATCCACTTCATTGGGGATCTTTCCCTTCTTCCTGGACTAGGTCAGATGGCATGGTCTGGGCACCCCAGCCCGCTTCCTATGCCTCTGGCTCAGCTGTAATTTTCCACATTTGCTGAATTTCTATTCAATTAGCACCTCCATAAGGGCTGAGACCAAGGCTTTGTGTCTTTCTCAATCTCCAACCTCCTCATGCAGGACTTACAACACTGTAGGCAGCAACCAAAGGCTATGGGAATCATTCATGCTTGAAATCATAGGAAATGTACGACTATAATTGGCTGAAATTTGGGTGCTAGTAGGGGAATGAGAAGGTTTTTATGGTTTTTGGTGGTGGTGGTGGTGGTGGTTGTTTTGTTGGTCTTGGGACTTGAACTCAGGGTCTGGGTGCTGTCTGTGAGCTTTTCCACTCAAGGCAAGTGCTCTACCACTTTGAGCCACAACTCAATTTCTGATTTCCTGGTAGTTTATGGGAAATAAGAGTCCCATGGACAATGAGACTCATCTCCAAACAATCACTAGAAAACTGGAAGTAGCGCTGTGGCTCACATGGTAGAGCGCTCGCCTTGAGCTTAAGAGCACAGGGACAGAGCCCAAGCCCAGAGTTCAAGCCCCACAACCAACCAAAAATAATATATATATATATATATATATATATACACACATATACTCATTACCTAACTTATATAACTAACACCTCTGTATATCACTTCTACAATAATAAAATGCACAAAGAAAAATATCTAGTGAAAGCTGGGCACTGGCAGCTCACACCTGTAAGACTAGCAACTCAGGAGGCTAAGATCTGAGGATTTCAGTTCAAAGCCAGCCTGGGTAGAAAGTCCATGAGACTCTCATCTCCAATAAACTACTCAGAAAAAGCTAGAAATAGTGCTGTGACTCAAGTGGTAGAGTGTTAGCTTTGAGCAGAGAGGCTCAGGGACAGAGGCCAGGCCTTGAGTTCAAGCCCACACCAGAAAAAACAAAAAACAAAAAAGAACCTGAGGCTGTGAGTTCAAGCCCCAGTACCAGTACCAACACCAAAAATAAAAGTCAATCTCTCTCTCTCTCTCTCCCTTTCCCCCTCTCTCTCTCATGAATCTATTTAGAAACAATAAAATGAAGCCAGGCACTGTGGCTCAAGTAGTAGAGTGCTAGCCTTGAGCTAAAGAGCTCAGGAACAGTGTTCAAGCCCCACAACCAACAAAAGGAAAAAAGAAACAGAATTCTTCCCACTAAAAGGCCAGCAATCATTCACCCTAATAGAGGCACAGTGGTCGTTTTGGGTTATCTACCTCCTCAATTCCTCCCTCCCAGACAGCCATCAGGAAGTGTGCCAGAAGAGACAAAAACCCTTCCGACTTACGGGGATACAAAGTCCTTCTGCATGAGGAATGCTGAAACCCCACACAGGTACCACAGGATATTGTGCATGGTCCAGTCGAGCAAAATGTCCATCACCACAAACATGGACTGCTTCCAGAATGTTTCATAGCGGGCTTTCCCGTCTCCTGTATGGCTCAGGCTCCATGGCCTGTGTGTTAGAGCTGTTATGACATTCCGGTCTGTCTGTCTCATCTGCAAAAGAATTTTGAAAAACAAAATGATCATACGCTCAGACTCCAACATCTCAACAGCTTAGATTCAGCCAATGCACTGGTTTTGATGAGGGCACATGACTTTCAGCACCATGTCTATGAAATACCATAAACCCTTTGAGAAAATATTTAATGGATGCAGGGCATTGCCTGCACAGTTTAACAGAGGGCATTTTTAAAAGCTGAGAACTGTAAACTTAGTTGGTTTTTTTTTTTTGGCCAGTCCTGGGACTTGAACTCAGGGCCTGGGAGCTGTCCCTGAGCCTCTTTGTGCTCAAGGACAGCACTCTATCACTGGAGCCACAGCATCACTTCCAGCTTTTTCTGAGTGGTTTATTGGAGATAAGAGTCTCATGGGCCAGGCGCTGGTGGCTCACGCCTGTAATCCTAGCTACTCAGGAGGCTGAGATCTGAGGATCGTGGTTCAAAGCCAGCCCGGGCAGGAGAGGAGAGACCACAGGAGAGACCGTGAGACTCCTATCTACAATAAACTACCAGAAAACCGGAA